ACAGCCCATTACCGTAAACAACCGCACCCTTTATTTCGGACTTTGCCTTGCTCATTCCTGAGGGGAGGGGGAGAGGGGGGGGGGGTGGGAGAACGGCAATGCGATCTTAACTAGTTCCCATCTGGAATTCCGAAAGAGGAACCAACGAGCTGAACTTCCTAATGTCCAACTCTGCCTTCTCTGACGTGGTCAGTGCCAGGCAGCTGATTCTAGAGGGTAGTGAGATGTTTATCCTCCCGGGATGTAGCGTGTAAAGTGCTGACCATTACACCCCAGACGGAACTTGTGATTAGCCTCGGGAACGACAACATTCTCTCACGTGCTTCAAGAAGCGCATATAGAAATACAATCTTGCTAGAACTATCTGTGGCTTAAAGCCATCGGACGACTTCTAGGCAATTTTTGTACGCGTATGGCAGACTAAAAATGTAAACACAACGCAACCGTATGAGCCTTCCGCGCGACGCGCCATTCATCTTGCGCCAACACCAATTATTGTTTTACAGGAGAGAAAAGTGCTTCGATCACTCTCCACACATTGCCTCCTGGTAGGCCTTACACCATTTATAAGCGCGATGACCTTTTTCTGACAGGTGCTTAGAACATTCTGGGGACGGGGGACTACTGCGCTTAGTGTCTCGGGTTCAGACGGCGCTTGCAAAACTCGCAACAACTGTCAATGTCCTGCGTCCCTAAGTCCAACACTTTGCGAAGTTAATAACTACCCCAGATCCATCTTCCTGGTCAAGACCTCATGACAGTATGAAGTGCTGGGTCGGTGTTCGGAAACTTCTGGTCGTTAGAGAAGCAAATTCACAACTTATTGGGTGGTCGAATCTGGGAAGAATTGAGAAAAGAAGGGCGAAATTGCCTAGACTCTTTACCACAGCCGGCTTTCCTGCTAACGTTACGTAAGGGAGCCTGGGTGTGAAACAGCCAGAACAAAAGAAAGAACGTACAAAGGCTTGGAAAGGCTTTCAGTGTCACCGAGTCGGCACATTAGATTGTGCGACCCAAATATGTGCTTATGGAATGTTACTTGACATCATTAGCAAAGAAAAAATGCAGACGCCTGCCGTTGAAAACACTGCTAAATACGGATTTCAATGTAGCTAATTTTGGCACTGGACGAGCAACCAGTTAGAAGAGACACTGGATCAGCCGTGCGGGTAGAGACAGTGGAGACGCAAAAACGAAGTAGCATAAAGACGATAGAGACAGCAGACAACGCATTTGCCACTGACGTTCATTGCGTCGCTACGGTGAGTGATGGCTTCAGTGCTAAAACTCAAGTTCGAGCCTACCTGAGAAGCAAAACTTTTGCCACAGCGGACCGGGTTACCTGCCACATTGAAAAAATTTACCCATCAAGTAATCGTTGACTGTACCTCTAACGAGAAGTCGATACACTATCACTCCATCCCGGTAAACAAGGTAAAATAACAGATAAAGAGTCGGTTATGAGGGCAAATAGTGGCTGAAACACGCGTTCAGCGGATAACAAGGAACAATACTTAGGCCCAGAAAACTGTTGGAAGCCCGCTGGAACGCTTACAGCTAGCAAATGAGACAGTGCAAAGCGACAGACGCAGGGTGACTGTTTTGTGATCGCGTGACATTTAACGCGGGGAGAATCTCACGGGAAAACAAGCCTTCGAAGATTGTCAACAGTGCCGACGAGCTTTTAAAGATTGTTGCGACCACAGTTGGCTGTCTACAAACAAGTCCGCTGTACGAGTTTTCTCCACGCTCAAAGGGCCTGCGGCTCGAACCAGTTGATGTCTCCCCCTAGTAATTTATTCACTTGAACAGCAAGCTAACGAAGAGGTGGAATATAGGTGTCAAAAAGGAGACCTACTTTTCGGTGATGCCAACGAACTTCAAGCATTTCCTAGAAATTTGACTCGCCACACAGTGACTTGAAGACCCCGCGCTCAACCAGATCGTGAATGTCTATATTAGTCCAAGTAGTGAAGGTCCGCAGACTCAGAGATGTGTTTGCCAACCTTTCTCTACCCCACAATGAGGCGAAGAGGAGTGCTATGGCTGTCCGTAAGTTGTCAGATCTGACACCCGCTCAGCTGGACCGCCTACCCAAGTGCTCTTTACACTTAACCCAGAGCGCTCTGTCATTGTTTAGTGGGCGGCGAAGTTAAATCCTAATTGGGCGTCCATTTGTGCTGAAAGCGCTCAAGATTATGATTAATTCTACTCTCCTCATCTGTTACCTTTCTTCATTAGGAGCATACCCACTCACAAGCAGTTCATCATCGTTCTACGTAGAAACGTCCAAATCACACAGTTGATTGCTAAATGCATTGGTGTAATAATTCGACGGATAGCGTCTTTCCCAAATCCAGTTCGCATAAAACGCCCTCTATCTAGGCTATCCGCTGTCACGAGATACGTTGCTACACTGATTAATTTTTCATTGGTTTCTCGGTTAGGACGATATTATAGCGCTTTGCTGATGCAGAAAACAACGATTACGTGAGCCGGGGACGGCAGGATTCGCTTTTGATTGTTATTGAACGCGAAAAAGGTCTGGGAAGTCGGTCCTTACGTAGGAGTCCTCAATGACTTTTTTTCTTCCCTGGAAAGTCACTGAGCGACTATAGGTTCGTAACTATACGCCACTACCCAGAATATGCTACGGCGGGATTGGTTTTCAAATTGGATCCTGGTACGAATGTAACGTCTCCCAAACGATATCTACAAAAAAAATAACCGCGCCAAGGGTGAGAGAACATTCCTGGTCGGGAAAGAAGAGAAGAAGAGAGAGTCGCGATAACAATTCTTGAACAAGTTATCAGCAATGACATACTTCTATTATTTTCCATATGTTTATTCTATTGCCGCGTCTTCTCCCTAAATCATGGTGAAATCGAAGTTACATTTTATCGATAACCCATCGGCATTCCATCGATAGCCCACCGCAGCTGGAAACAAGGTTATATCAGCACGTTCAGACCAAGGCGGTGTCCATACTTTGCCACTGAGGACAGCCGGCGATTTGGAGGACTCGACGATTTAAGAGATTGTGCTGCGCGATGAGCGAAAGATATGGTATTTGACCGCTGCGATGTGGCGGGTCGGTTCGCGGCCTTTCAGGAAATTGCCTAGTCACGCAACTCGTCGAATCGCCCCGACGTGCAGTGCCTCAAATCGCTTAGTCTTCCAGTTCGCGGAATCTCCTCAGCCAACGTATAGCTATGGCATAACTCCCGTTCTAAACTGTACATAACTCACCTTACTGGATTTAACTTTTACTTACCTTTCTACAAAAAAAGCACAGCGATAACGCAGCTCAAAGAGGCCACACGGTTGCGCATCTTCTCTTTCGAAATTCAATGTTAGCAGAGCAGCAACCTTGTATAACACTGCAGACGATTCCGAGTGAACCCTTAGAGCTAGACTAGCACCAATATTATCTCTGAAGCAAAACAACTCACCTTCAAGCCTAGCAACACCAACAATAGTGTGAGGTCGCAATTTCCATGAAGAGTTCGTAACATCTGATGAATTCGTGTCAATCAAGTGATAGTTTTGGTTCGTCATCAACACAACTCGAGAAATCGATTTCACTGGAAACCGGAAGATGTTCAGAGAACTAAATAGGTGAAAGAAGCAAGAAAAACTTTGAACGAGCTGTGAATTCGAAATGATGGTGAGCGAACAGAAGGATTGACAAACGCGCTCAATCGGTATCCGCAAAATCGCTGGGGTGCTAACTATGAACGCTGTTCGCGAATATATGCACAACTCACGATTTCGCCACTCTGTCTGACCGATCTAGTCAGCAATCACGAGCTTTGCGCAATCTGCGCCAAGTGACGAGACCACTTCTTTAGACTCGAAAGCATCGCGTCTAATAGCTAGTGCTATCAGTTGGCAATATTGCGGAATGTGGGAAAATCGCCCCTGAGATTAGATACGTATCGATCGAAATAACACCACCTTCTTCATGAGTTGGAGGTGCCGAAAACCACAGCGGAAGATATGCTGGAAACGGCGACATCCGAGAGCGCGCTCAGACTTTGCGATCGCGCGTATTGGATCGCGCGATCGCGAAGTCTGAACGCACTCTAGCAAGAGGAGTGGATCTTGCGAGACTTAGGCTTGCTGTAGCATTTTGCGTACCCTTCGATCACTGCCAGTGCCTAAATGCTTGCTAATGGAGCAAGCGAAAAAACGAAACGCCCCTCCCAAGCCGAACAGCGTCAGAAGAAAAAACCGCAAGTAAACAAAAATGTTTTGACCACTTGAAACTAACACTGATAACCCTTTCTGAAGAATCATGCGCGATATCCAATGAATTTCGTGGAACAACTATAGCAAACCCTTGTTAGTTCGTTTCAATAAGGGTGCGGGCCAGGAAGACCAGCCCTCGGCAGCGCGCGGCACTGGCCCGTATTTTCTAGTTATCTAACACTTGGTAGCGTGGCGGAAGCTGCGTTTTTGGGGTGACGGACAAGACAATCGTAATTTGTGCCATGCGAGCGCGCTGCGTATATCACGGCGTCGCGACACATGTCTACCTGAGGCCCCCACAATGGTCTCAATGTATTCCATGCAACCACAGCGTACCTCAGAGGCTACATACTCTTTAGTGGCAGTGAAAAAAAAATTGAAAATTGAACTAGAAGGCGTCAGATTCCAGCCCCGCTGATCAAGCGGATGCTCTCCACAACATAGAAGCTCGGTTGTAGACTTTATTATAACGTTCCAAACAACGACTTCACACTTCAGTTTCACTTTCAAGTAAATTTCTGAAAAAATGGACATGTCAGCAGTCATTACATCGTATTTCAATTACACCGATGAAGCTAAAACTAAAACGATAATAAGAAGTTCTAACATGAAACGCCGAGTACCCTAAGTGAGAAACAACAATTTCAGGAGATATTAAAATTAACGAATACACTAAATTAATTTAAATAGCTGAAAGAAGATTACGTTCCACAGAACGTCATTACAAACTTTAAAAACACAACGAAAGATCACAACGCCATGTTGCGTCCCTCGAGAGACACACCAATCGCCCGTTTCGCTTTCAGTTTCCTTGTTCTTTCCAGGAATTCACGATGCGTCTTGTCGAGACGGGCAAATGCTTTGGCTTTACGCTCTCCCTTAAAAGACCCCATTAGGTGTTTTTTTCCGATCCAGTACGGCATGACTGAATGACCAACCTTAAACTCCCCCTCCACATTCGACTTTGGCCGTACAACGTAATCCTTTGTGGATGGGCGAGGAACTCGAGCTCTGCTGATTTCTTTTTCAGCGGGTTTTGGCGCAGCAGGTGTAGAAGGGCCTGCTTCACCGCTTAAACAACTTTTTGGTTACTTCTTCCTGATCACAAAAAGGAGGCATCCTCCAAAGATAGATAGAGCTGACTGAACGATCAACAGAAATGGCACTATTTATCTTTCACAGGCTCGGAATACGGGGCAAATTGTAATCGAAATTTTTCCCTGGAAAATTAGCTGAGATTCCGTTCTATGAGGCTGTTCAGCCTTCTGAACACAAGTGTCACAAACTTTGGCTGAATCATCTGTATCCCGCGCTACAGGAGTCACTGCAAAAACGTTCAAGAAGCTAATATATACTCTTATAAAGGCACTAGGGGAACGCTAGAATCGACCTATGACGGTGCCCATGGCGCGGGCGTTCGCTTCAAACGCGAGCGAGATCCATGTTCAGGGGCTTAGCATTCCCTCGGGACAAAGTCTTTGCTAATCTGACGGTAGAGAGAATTTTCGACCAAAATGTAGCCTAAAGGGTTGAGAAAAAAGGGTTAAATAACGCCCTGTAAATGTACCTCATCCTCCTCTTTTTGACGCTGGACATATGATCCAGATCCCTTTGGACTCGTTCTTCTCGAGATACGGAACGAAAATCAGTCTCGAGCTTAAATTATATCATATAGTCGACGATTTTCCTTAGTACATATGAATCAAAAAGGACTTGATCTTTACCTGAAAAATTGGCCTGGACCATTCTCTGATTATCTGCGCTGCCATTGCCTTGTTCTCTTTGGTCTCTCGAGGATGCTTATACAAGAGCATGACAGCCCTTCCGAGCCCTGATTGCTTTAGAACTCCCTGAAATTCAAGCCATAAAAGAATTCAATCTAACGCAGAAACTGGATTGGAAGCAGGCTCCCACGTACAGAGGGCAGAGGGCACGGATGTATAAGGGAAAGGAAAAGGGAGTGGGAAATTTACTGTTTTCTTTCCACTTCTTGGACCACTCAGGGTTGAACGTTTTTAATACCCGAATCCCTAACAGCGGAGTCAGATATACTACCAGTAAACTTTGGTAAAGTGTAGGTCGTGAAGGGGGGAGGGAAGGGGGAGAATCTCGAACCACATTTAATTAAAAAATAACATAAAATCACCTGGTCCAGATTGCCAAAACCAGACAAAATTTTCAGTAATTCTGTTCTTATTTCAAGGGCTGGTAAGCTTTTATCTGGGAGTGGAGCCAACCATTCTGACACTGCGCTCATCATTCCTCCATCTATCATAGCTTCAAGCATGTCCATCTGCAAAATGAAGGATGAAGACGGATGTTGAAATCACTTCGAGACGACTCTATATACTCCTTCCTGACATAGAGTAAGTCTGCGAACCACTACAAAAACTGTTTTCGCTTAATTTGGAACCCGAGCTATGGCAGTACAAGGGATAAAATTCTATCAAAACCTTTTTAAAGTTTGAGAACTGACCTC